GGTTATTTAGCTTCCATGTTTCTGTATGAGACTGCAGATTCCTGTTGTTACTGAGTTCAACTTTTATTCCATGATGTTCTGAGAAGATGCATGGAATAATTTCTATTCTTTTAAATTTACTTAGGTTAGACTTATGGCCTAAGATGTGATCAATTTTGGAGTATGTTCCATGGAATAAACTCTTTTATATTTACTGACATATTTACTACTCCTGGCACTCTTTGATTCTTCCTATGGATTCAAATTAACATCTGGTGTCCCTTCCTTTCAGCCTGAATGAGGACTGACTTCAACATTTCTTACAAGGCAGTCTAACAGCAAGAAGTTCTTTCAATTTTTATTTGGGAATCCTTTTTTTTAAATCTTCATTTTGGAAGACTTAGTTTTGCTGTATATAGAATACCTGATTGAAATTTTATTTTCTCTCAGCACTTTGAATACATCATGGCGTATGGTCCCCATTGTTCCAGACCCAAAGTTAGCTGTTAGAATTATTATTAGTCCTCTACATGTGATGAATTATTTTCTTCTTTCTATGACTCTCTGTGTGTTTTTCTAGTTGGAGTTAGTTGAGCTTCATGAAGCTATAGAATTTTTTTCCCCACTAAATTTAGAACGTTTTCTGCCACTATTTCTTCCATTTTTTTCCCTGGTGTCTCTTCTCTCCTAGAAAGACATGTGTGTTGTTCCATAGGCTTCTGAGGCTCCTTTGACTTTTCTTTAATCTTTCTCTCTCAGTTCTTCAGGGTATATAAATCTTATTGACCTATCTTCAAGTTCACCAATTCTTCTGCCATCTCAAATCTTCCAATTTAATGAATTCATTAATTAAAAATGAATTTAATTAAATTTTAATTTCATTTAAAATTTTAGTTTACGATCCTTTTTAACTCTAGAATTTTATATGCTTACTTTTTAGAATAACCACCTTTATGCAGAAATTCTTTATTCACTAAATCCTTACAGTCCTACACTTCCCTTTAATCCTTTAAATATGGTTTCCTGTAGTCTTTTGAACGTAACTTCATTTTAAAAAAAATTTCAGAATATACAGGGGTACACACATTTTGGTTACGTAGTTTGTTTTGTATATTTCAGGTCAAAGTTATGTGTGTGCCCTTCACTCACAATTTGTGCATTATAGCTATTAGGTGTAAACTAACCCAACCCTTTCTCAGCCTCCCACCTACTTGATTCCTGATGAATTTTACTTCTCTCTGTGCATGTGTTGATCAACTAGTTCTCATTTATTATTGAGTACGTGTAGTATGTGCTTTGAACATATTTATAATAGCTGCTTTGCTATCTCTGCTAAATACAACATTATAAAGACACTCAGATATAGTTTCTAGTGGCTTTTTTTCCCCCAAGTATGTTCCATTTTTTTGTTTGTTTCTTTGTGTTATCTTTAAATTTTTTGAATGCCGGACATTTTACATAATACATCGTAGCAACTCGAGATTCTGATTTTTCTGCCTAAGGGTTATTCTTGATTTGTTTGTTGCTTCTGACAGTCTAAAAGTCTATTTCTTCTATAATGTGTGACTACTGATGTCTCTACTCCATTATTTTTAGCCCAGTTTTTAAGACCTTTTAAAGTAAGTTTCCAGTTTAAAAGACTGATCAGAAATTTTATTTAAACATCTCAAACCAGTAAAGCTTCTATTCCCTACTGACAGAATTTGTGTGTGGACAGAGGTATATATGCAAAGTTCAGGTCTTTTACAAGTCTCCTCCAGTTATATTTCCACTAGTCCTTTTTAAATTTCCTCTGTACTTATACTTAAGCTCCACTGGCCAGTAATGTAGGAGTGGCTTGGGCCCACTTTGTTCATGGTTGTGTATGTCCATAACCTCTGCTCAATCTGGGAGATATTGGGAACTTATCAAGCCCCCATGATTGTCTTACCTCTCAAAAGTCTCTATTAAATACCACTGGTACAAGAGTCTGTTGATTGCCCCAAACTGGACAACAACCTCAGACTAGCACAGCCATTGACTGTCTCTTCCACCAAGATTACTATTTTAACCTATAACACTCTATATCAAGTGATCTCTCTCCAGGCAGGGTAGCAAAACTGCTAGCTTTCAAGGTCTGCTCCATTCTGATGAAAAAAGAAGTAGCATTAGACTTACACACTTGCACTATTCTTATCCTAACTTTATTAGTGTTCAAAAATAAAGCTTCTCAAATTGTTTGGTTAATTTCAAGAACACAGAAAAATTTATTTTGACAGTTTTGTCCAAATTTATGGTTGCTTCTGGGGTAAAACAATCAAGTCTTCTCACTGCAATCTCAAGCTCCTAGGCTCAAGTGATTCTTCTGCCTCAGTTTCCCAAGTAAATAAAACTGCAGGTGCATACCACCTTGCCTGGCTAATTTTCATTTTTTGTAGAGATGGGGTATCCCTACATTGTCCAGGCTCATCTCAAACTCCTGGCCTCAAGGGATTCTCCTGCCTCCATCCCCCAAAGTGCTGGGATTACAGACATGCACCCCTGCACTTGGCAAGGCATTTCTCTCCAATAGTATACATCATGAATTGCTGTAGTCCAGTTATAATCCAACTATACTAAATCTTGGTGATAACCGTAAATCTGTATTTTAACTCTGAGATAAAAGTGCAAATTCTTTTTAGTTATTCATATTCTATGAGTAGATATATAGCTATTTTAAACTAGATATATTAGACTCATCTTCCTTTTTTGTTGCTGCTGGTAAAAACTGATTTTGTGCATATGTGTATGTTAGACAGAAAGAGTTGTGGAGTTCTCTACATTCCTAACATAATGAAGCTGCTAAAAATGTAATATAGTAACATTAAATCATACTAATAAACTATACTTATCCAGACAACACAGTATCTGAGGAATAATAACAATCCATAGTAATGAAAATGATGCTAAGAGTTCTGGCAACTATGGTATAGGAAAAAAATTTGAGTGAATTGTCAATGTTACCCTGGATAAAAAAGTGACTTATTGAATATTGATTGAGAGTACAGTGCCAGAACTAAACGGCATAATTCTGAATTCAATATATAAAACATATTTAACAACTTAAGCTAAAACCACCAAACTGGTTCTCTTATAAAGTAATTGAGTTCTTCTCACTAAGAATAATCATAACAGTTTAGATAACCATCTTTCTAAGGTACATTTATATAGGAGATGGACTAAATGACCTTTTAACCCAAAGTTTCTATAATTTTATAAAAACAAATAGATCAGGATTTAGATGGAGAAAAGATAAAACTATTAGCAAAAACAATCCAAAATATACATAAAATACACAATACTTCAAGTTATCTATAATAAATAAGAGAATGGATCATGGGCACTATTTCTAAAAGTAATGAGTCCTACCGTACTATTGGGTCCCCAAAAGGCAACAATGTGCCAAATAAAAAAGCTATTAGAAATAGAAAACACCATCCTACCATTGTACAAAGCTACTGCATTTAGTTCTGATTGCTATAACTAAAAACAAACAAGCTGAGAGGGGAACAAAATATAACTAAAATGAACAAAATATAGAGATCATTACATAAAAATCAGACACCACTGTGGAATAGCTAAAACTGACTAGGTCCACAAAAAATATTTATAACACACGCAGGACAGAAATAAGATAAACTTCAATTTGTTCACTGAAATGTGGAATGCAACCCTTAAACTCTGAAGGAGGTAAGATTAGGACAAATTTTTAAAGTATCATTATACTCTGGGAATAGTTATAGACTGTAAACAGAAATGACTTACCTCTTTTAATTGATCAGCACTCCCCCATGATGCAGAACGCTGATGTGACTTTTTTTCTGCTCCCTCTTCTACCCAACAGCTAGGTGTCTTAAGGGGGTGGGGGGAAGGAAAGAAAAAAATAAGGAATTTTGTCTCTACTCCCTAATCTCAAGCAACTAAAACACATTTCAAATTCTTAGCATATACCATTTAGGGAGCTATACCAAAATCCTTTAAACATTATGATTTTCATAGCTCCATGAAATGTTTAAAACTGTGTCATATTCTGAATTAAACATGATCAACCAAAGATGTCTCTGAGTCATCTTGCTTAAAACATTTGATATCTTCACATAATAATACTAACTTAAAGTCACCAAATTCAAAGAGATTTGTGTCCTGGTGTTCAGCGAAACTCAGTATGAAATAGTGTTTTCTATTAAATTCAACAGACAGAAAATGAACAGAACTGGTTTAGACACAACAATATTATAGATGACCTACATATCGAATATCTAGCTAGATGGAGCACTGATTGTACTATTCTTCCCATACTTGGATAAGAGTATTAATGATAGTATCTTTTTTTAAAAATAGGGATCTTTACATAAAAATATAAAATAATAAAAATGAAAGATTAGAAATAATAACTATAAGCTAAATAAACTTAATATAAACTAAAGTAACACATCTTTTAAAAAACCTGATCTACATGTCAGAAAACACAATCATTTTACCAAAAATACTATTTTCAGCTACTTAAATTAATAGACAATAGACCCAACATAACACAAACTGTAGAAGTACTTCGGATTTAATACAACTACTTCGTAGCTGTACTAAAACTTAAACAATACTAAAATACCATTCAATAAATAATACTCTTACATAATATAAATAAGGGCAGATAAAAATCATTATTTAAAAACAAAGGGTAATAACTATCACAATAAGTACATATAGATTTCAAAAGTTCTTTTTTCTTACTTACTGAAAAAACTATCATTTATGTTAAGAGCATACTTGTGACTTGACATAATATGGTATACAAACTTTTTTTTCCTTTTTTTTGAGGCAGAATATCACTTTGTTGCCCTTGGTAGTACGCTGTGGTGTCACAGCTCACAGCAACCTCAAACTCTTGGGCACAAGCGATTCTCTTGCCTCACTTTCCAGATTAGCTGGGATTACAGGTGCCCACCACAACGCCCAGCTATTTTTTAGAGTTGTACTCTTGCTCTTACTCAGGCTGGTCTGGAACTGGTGAGCTCAAGCAATCCACCAGCTTCAGCCTCCCAGAGTGCTGGGATTACAGGCATGAGCCACACAGCACCCAATAGTATACAAGCTCTTATGAAGAAATCATCAGTCCTACTTTATACAGTTCAAAATGCTGTGGACAGCTGGTTTGTCTTTTTTTTTT